CATGGTGTGCAATCTGCAAGGAAAGTAGAGAAAAGAAGAGTGAACGGTTGAAACAATGTACATATATGAAGTTTGGGAAAAGAAACTATGCAATACGAAACAATATACATATGTGAAGTTTGGGAAAAGAAACTATGCAATATGACGTACGATTGAGGTTGGAAAGGATTTGTGATGTGAGTAGCAACAAAGTTACGGTCCATATGGTAATATTAGTTTAGGATGGCGTTTTTCTCTAGCCGAGGCGATTGAAACGGTCATTTTTCCCCTTCAATTTTGACGACGGAATGATCCGCCGATATGTGCATCGTTGGCCGTGGAGCCTTTCAGGGGAAAGCTGGCAATTCGGGAGATCATGTTTTCAAGTGACGGAGATGATGAGTCATCAGTCACGTTTTAATCCCAAGATTTTGATCCGATATGATCTGAGATGTCAGTGAGGATTCAGAGCGGATCTAGTAGAATCAACATTGAATCTCCTTTTCCTATGATTCTGACGAGCGTCATGGATATGTAAAGGAGATTCCCTCTCGCAGAGAAAGTTCAAAATTTCGATTCGCCTCTCTCCAATCAGGCAAACCAATCCACGGGAGTAATTAGCAGAAGTGATTGGATTTCAATCAGTGGATTCGATCAGATCTCATTAGGTTTTCAAGGGATTCTGATGGCGAGAGAACGAGCCTGCAATCCTCTATATATTGCAGCTGTGTGCCGAGCTTCTCTGATTACCAAGCCATCGCTCCTTTTAACTCACTTTGCGCATGAGTGTACTTGTTCTTTATCTGTGTTTTTCATCGAAATGGCATTTTTTGGGAATCTATATCACTTGGTCCAGACATGAGGCGATCAAAACCTCTGCAATTGCCTCCGATCAATAACGAGAAAGTCTTGAAGAAGTTTTAGAAGACGTTGGTGGGGAGAATCCTCAACTCTGACATCAAGAAAAGCCGTGTGAAGGCCATGATTGCTTTCTTGCCTTCCGTCTGGAAGTGTGAAGGTCGGGTACAAGGAATTGAAATGGGCAGAGGAAGCTTCCACTTTCGTTTTGAGGAGGAATCGATCCTGCAATCGGTTTTCGATAACAGGCCGTATCATTTCGACGGATAGATGATGGCCATCGATCGTTGGGTGCCTACGGTGAGAAGCGATTTCCCGACCACAATTCCTTTTTGGGTTAAGATCATGGATCTACCTGCCCAATATCGAGAAGATGAACAAGTGGAGAGCATTGGCAAGGACCTAGGTGAGCTCCTGAACTGGAAGATTATCGTTCCTTTTCCTATGGTTCGTGTTGAGGTAGGCTGCGATGCTCCGCTAACACTGTTCTGAGAAAGACGATCATATACCGAAGAAATTTTCAAGATCAATTTTGATTATCTGAAGTTGTAAAATCACTGCAAAAATGTCTGCGGATGTCGCACGACACTAGATCCTGTCCAGAACGATTTGTAAGACAGCAGAGTCTTCGGGAACCTTCATACCGGCAAGCGAAAGAAGAGAAATGGAAGCGATAACGAGCTTCTAAGGACGTAATCGTTAAGCCAAGAGGATCTCGAGAGGACCAGATCCATCGATATAGTGGCAAGCCGACGGATTTGGCCTCATCCTCAAAACCTAGACCGGTGCGTCGAGACCTAATGAAGGAGCTGGGTGAAGCTAGGCGAGGTGAGATGAGTAACCAAAAATTTAACCCAAGAATGGGTTCAGAAGTCGTTTGGCAGAGGAGATGCTAAAGCATCGGGGTGGACTCAAGGGAGAAGTTGGTGGTGTTGGATGTTACCAATGCCGAACCCATAGCTCCTTGGTATCGGGAAACTGTCCAGGAAACGGACGTTGCAAGAGAGGTGTATGCACAAAATGAGAAATGGGATAAGGTGGAAAAGGCCGCGGCGGTGACCCAAAAGCCAGCGGCGGCGACTGAGCAAAAATCAGAGGTGAGGGTTCGGGTGATGGAGGAAAACAAGCGACAATTGCTTGAGCCGGTGGTAGGTGGGCCGGCACATGTAAACAAGGGGGATGGGCCATCCAAAATTCATAAGGGAGATGGGCCTTTGTGTCAAGCCCACAAAGAATCTCCCATGGACCAGACTATTTATTTAGAGGCCCATGATGTCATTTCTCCACTTAAAGAAATTCTGGTGGGAGCCCAGAAAGAGCAACAGGGGGTGCCACGGGGTGGGCCTCGGAATTTGTCAAAAGGGCCTAGAAGAATTGAACAAAGAATCAGTAAGGCCCTTGAAGTCAAGAAGAAAATTGCACAAAGCCCGTTACGGGGTAGTCATATCCATAAACATGCGTCCTTAGCAAAAGACGACCCCGGTACGAGAGACTCAGCTTTGCATAGTGTGTTACTTCCGTCCTCCTTGAAGACAGGCCCCAACAAGAGGCGACTTCGAAAAAATTCAAAGACTCGGTGGTTAAAGGCAAACCACCATCAGACGCTTAAATGATCCTATGTTGGAACTGTCAGGGGGCGGATAGCTTTCTGGCAGTTCGCTGGTTGCGGAAGTTCCGTAAGAAGTTTTTCCCAGGGACTCTCTTTCTTATGGAGACTAAACGCGATCACCATTTTGTTCAAGATTTACAAGTGGAATTAGGTTATGATTTTCTTTTTACTGTTGACCCATGTGGTCTTAGTGGGGGGCTTAGCTCTGTTGGCTAAGTCTAAAATTTAAATTCAAGTTTTGTCTATATTTTACCACTTTCACTATCTATTTTACTATATTTTTATATATACTTTAATAAAGTCTTTCGACCAAAAGAGGTAGTTTTCTCGTATATATGGATTTTAAAGTCTTAATAGGTTTTATCATCAAAAGGATGCAAAAAGAAGCAAAAGGAGTGTTATCTATGATACATCTACTTATTCAAGTCAAAGGAGCCAAGCCAAGTCATTATATCTTAAAGATAAAGCATATTCTCAAGTTGGATAGAATGGATACATCGGAAGTTCACTGTTGAACAGAGGACCAAATAAACTTGAAATCTAATGAAAATTGGTGGAAAGATAGCCCTTTGAGTTAGCTTGTCAATGAAGTTGGAATTACACCATTTGCAGATGTATTTTAGAAGATATGCTAGAAACACTGAAAACATGTCAAACAGCTTAGAAGTGAAGCAAGCGCAGAAATGAGCCAAGCACCAGGCCACTTTGTGGGCCGATGATCCAGGCCATTGCATACATTCTAGAAGCCTCAACGAAGACCTCAACACCGGTCATGCAAACCGACCGTTGCTTGGACCGGTGGTTGAATAATTTTGACGTAAAAGACTCTTTTGCCCGAAGAAAATCCTAGCCGACTTGGGACCTCTTAAACCCCTATATATACTTGCTTTTATCCTTTCTAGAAAGGAGATCAGCCGGCCATAACAGCCAAAATCAATACCTAAACATGTATTTCGTTTATCTCTTATTCTTAATGCATCTTTGATTCTAAAAGCCTTTAAGGGTAGTTCGACTTTGCCCTATTGCAAAGAGATGAGATCTGATCCCTTACGCTTTGTAGATCAACGATTTATACTATATTTATTTGCTTTACTCTTGCTGCTCTTTGGTGCAAAACATGTAGAGTATTAGCCTTGATTTGATTTCTATGCGCTTTCTTATTTCTATGTTATCATACAATTGATCGTTTAAGGTTTTATTCTAGAATTGATTCTTCATCTCTATTTACGCTCAAAGCATGACCTGGGTTAGCTACCTACTGACTGATATTAGGTTGATATACTCTCCAAAAGCTTATTATATCTCCGGACCTAGTATTTGATGAGCTAAGCGTCTTAACAATTTGAAATGTTAGTTAAGGAGTTTAGTGAACAATCGAATCTTACACTTTACGCGTTTCTTCACCTTGTAATAACCATACGATAGTTGAGCCTATTAGGAAGAAAGACATAGAAGTTTGATCCACGATAGTGGTATGATTTTACCTTAGTGATTTGAGTTCTAGAACAACTAGTATTAAAAACCCTAAATCGTTTGCTTGTGTCTTGCATATGTCTTGAGAATTGCTTGATCTTTTATCTTGATTGAACTATCTATCCTTTACTTTATTGCTTTGTTATTTGCTTCCATAAACCCTAAAAACCAAATAATATATTCATCTAGCTTAATTCGCATNATATAGATTTGTAGCGCATTCATCACTTAGTCCTCAGTGGATCGACCCCTAAGTACTACAATTGTCAATATTGTGCACTTGTAGTTTCCTAGGGTTATAAATCTAAAGTTTGCATATGCATCTAAAACCCCGCACATCAAGTTTTTGGTGTCGTTGTCGGGGATTTTTGTTTGATTGCCTACAAATTTTTGATAAAGATTAAGCATAGGTTTTGTTTTTCCTTTTTTATTTTTCTAATTTTCGTTTTTATTTTTGGTTTTTATTTTTGTGTGTTTCAGAGATTTATCAATGGAGCATCACAATCCTAGGAGAATGGCGAACCCTCACCCTCGTGAAGAAATTGGGGATTACATCCCTATGCCTCATGAATTCTTTCAACCGCCACTTTCTTACAACAATCGGTACAATCCAACCTTGTATCGACCTTGGGAAGTTTATGGAGGAGAAATTCGTCCTTGTCCTCATCACAATCATCAACCACCTTCGCCACAGTCCCACCACCATCCCCATTCAACCCTCCGAGAAGATAAAGGAGAAGCCTTGATGCATCGTCTCATGGAAGATACCAAAAAAATCTTTCGTGAAGTTGATATCAAGATGGAAATTTTTCTCTTGACTTTTGAAGGGAAGTTTGACACCCTTGCTGCTCAGATCCAAGAGAACACCACACGCTTGGTCCACCTTGAAGAAATACAAAAGAAACATTTTCAAGATCTTCAAGACAATGCGCGAAAACTCCATGGTTTCAAGCGTAGTCTTGATAGTCTTTGGAAGAATTTTGAAACGGAGACCACTAGCTCTAATGGGAACTTAGAAGAACTTACAACATGCCTCAACGTCACTGTTATCAAAGCCCACGAAGCCGAGAAAGCATTGGAGGAGAACAAAGTTACTTAAAAAGTAGCATTCTCTACGATACTTGTTCTTACGGAAGGACAAAAGCAACATATACAAGCAATCAAGGATGTTTTAATTCTCTTTGGCGGGATGTTTTCATGATCTTATTGGGAAGACAACCTCACTCAAAGGAATAGCAATCAGTACCAAAAACCATGTCAAGCAACTAGACGATCGCTTGAAGAGAATCGAAGAAACGGTGCAAGCTTGCCTTTGATTGGAAACAATAGAAGAAGAATCTACACCTAACACTAATTGCTGCACTCTTACTGCCCTTAAAGAGGACGAGTCCACCTCTAGTCAAGACGAAGAAGAAGTCCCTAGACCACTCAAGAAGGCGTATACGAGCCAAGGAAAACTCACCGCGAGAATTTCGGTAAAATACCTCCTAAAGAAGTTAAATTTGCCGAGAGAATCACCAAGAGGTCACGTTCTATAAGTGATGAGATGCTAGAAGTATTCAATTCACTTGTGAAAGAACTCCCTCAAGAGTTGTCCTTTGAAGAAGCATGGCGAGAACGACCATCTTTGAGAAAGTGTTTCTCACAAAGCAAAGAAGAAGATTTCATGATTGAGGAGCTATTTGATNGAGNTAGNAATCCTCACAAGTACTTTAAGATCCTTTGCAAGACCCTC